TACACCCCCCCGCGCTACACCACCAAGGAGCATCATGGGTGGGTTAAGAGCAGTAATGAACCTTCTCAGTACTTTACTTCTGCTCAGATATTCTTCTTTTCCCACCTCTTCACTCTTAAATGGCTGAATGTACTTTAATGTGTTAGGCTGCCAGCTTAACAGGGTGAAATGCGTTGTTGCTACTCTGCTTGGCCTGCTGCCCTATCCCCCACACAATCCTGGTCCGTCATGGTGCGTGCCACTTAAAAATGGCCCCTTCTGTTGAGTTCTGTTTGCAGTTGGCTTTTTGCAGTGACATAAATGTGCTTCTGTGTCAAAGCTACTGCTGTCTTAGAAGTGAATTAGGTATTGTACTGGAAACTGAACTGTATACTCTTCCGAGTGATTCTAGTCACAAACTAGATTAGTTCCAAGTGCTTTTTTTAAAAAAAGGAAATTAGTAAATTTTTACTTTGTGGCCCTTGGAGCAAAGAATTTTCACATTGGGGGGGAACAGCAGCCATTTTGTTTTTGTATTAATCCTCTTCAGAAGATGAGAACATGACAGGTCCTTTAGGGAAGGCTTTTACCTATGACCAGTTACCCTAGCAGTAAAATACTGGATTGATTGAACTTGTAACCTAGGTACTTCTAAGTCTTGCTCATTTGTCCACTTCTTGAAGGCCTACCAAACAAGAGGAGATTGGATTTATATCCCGTCCTTCACTTGGAGTCTCAGAGCGGCTTACAAACTCCTTTCCCTTCCCCTCCCCACAACAGACACCCTGTGAGGTGGGTGGGGCTGAGAGAACTCTGACACACACTGCTCTTTTTCAAGGACAGCTGTGCCAGAGCTTGTGACTGACCCAAGGTCACATCAGCAGATGCAAGTGGAGGAGTGGGGAATCAAACCCGGTTCTCCCAGATTAGAGTCCGCACACTTAACCACTACACCAAACTGGCTCTCTATTTCCCCAAAGAAGGGAAAGCACTCAGTACCGTACTGTAACTGGCACCTCTGCACCATTGCAGATTTTCTGTTCTTT